AAGAGGGTAAAATAAAAGAACAAATAGGAAATGTATATCAATCTAACACGTTTCACTTTTATTAAATCTTTGTCAGAGATTGTCTTAATCAAAGCTGACAAACGTTTAATAAAAGTGAAACATGTCAGATTGATATATGTTTCCTATTTGTTCTTTTATTTTATCACATATACACATATATATATGCATATATATAAATATAAAAGTGAATATAGAAGTCAACACTTAGAGGTGACTTTAAGTGTTGACTTCTATGTTCACACACGCTCTATCTCTGATATTGAGTACTTATAAATATAGTACACCTGAAGACTATATTTCTACATATGTGTGTGTGTGTGTATATATATATATATATATATATATATATATATATTAGGGTTATGACATTTTTGTAACCCTATGTTCCCGTGTCAATGAATTTTTGTTTAAAAGTAATGAAAAAGTGTGAGTGACTGATTTCACTGGATAGGTGATATACATTGGAATTTCAAACTGGGGTAGATTGTTCCATATGTGATACCTTTTCTAGATATCTTAGTTTCAGTTATTTTCCTTTAGTAACTCAACTCTCTCCAACTCTTTTGTTCACCTCTGCTGTGGCCAGGTATTGAACTCACAACTCTTTGGGTCAAGTCACTTCAACCAAAACTTTTATCCATTGAGCCATGTGTCCAGTGGATAAAAGTGTTAGTCGAAGTAAAATAGATGTCTGTTGAAACCTGGTTAAATATCTCCAATTTTAAAAATAAGATTAGTGGCCCTAGAGTAGCTTATGAAAAATACATCACAGACAAGAATGTAAGGACCATGTTTCAAACAAGAGATCTGGGGGCTGCTCCATGTGTTGGAATGCGTCACGAAAAAATAAATGACTTTGTCTCTTTCTCTCCTGCTGTCGTAGTGACGGACACAGTCTCCACTTCTGAGACTGAAAACTGCCTTCCTTCTCATTCCAGCCCTTTACATAGAGCTTGGTAACTCACCTATGCAAAACACCAACAAGCCAGCTACCAATCACAGTTCCCGCGCATGCCCACCTCCATTCGCTTTGGGGGTTTCAAGTTGACCGACCAACTCATTACACTGGTTGAAAGTAACTGACACGATATTGGTGTGGAATAAAATTTTAAATACAAAAGCTTCAAATCTTCTGCTATTCATTATACTGCAACTGTTATCATAAGTCAGCAATTTCAATTCATTCCAAATAAACATGATGTGTATGACTTAGACAATATTGTAGTTGCTAGCAGTTTTGCTTTTGATCAGTGTTAATAGAAATCAGTCATGACAAGAAAAATTGTAATATTTTAAGTTTAAATTGAAGTAGGAGTAGAGAGCTTCACCTATCGCCCAGTTCACACTCCTCCTCAGTCTTTTGAACAAACGTAGAGGTTTAGCCCTTGTTTCTTGTTTAGAATTGGGTTTCCAGTTCCTTCTAAAGTCTTTTCATTCTCTTTTATTCCCAGTAGCCCCTTGTCTCTCTCTCTTTGTTTTTTTAACAGTAAGGCCCAGGAGCCACTTAAGGTAGAGGGTTATATTAAGTGGTAATTTATATGGATATGAGGGGGAAAATAACAATTAACTGAGCAGGTTAAGATTGTAGTGATTGGGGAAACATTCTCTTGGGAGTCTGTGCCACAGAGCAGTGGTTTGCAGGAAGAAGCTCTTTGAGTGGAACTTACTTCTAACCAATGGAATACAGAGAGAATGAGGGTGGTTTGCTACTATGTAAGTGGCATGGCGGGTCTTTGCCATGAAGGTTAGACCTGGCAGAACTAAGGAATGTAGTTCATCTAAGCACATTCGATTGAAGTAGCAATAGACCAGTGAGAAGCCGACTACATCTTGCTAGTGAGATACAGGTTGGAGGGTGGAAAATAATTCTTCAACAAGGACTCAGAGATGCTTAGTGGCATCATCGCCTTGCTTGGGGTGAATTGATAAAAGAAAAAAAAAAAAAGGGAACAAAATTTCAACGACAGTCATTATATTATAAAAAAAATATCAATGGCAAAAAATAACTGTATGACTTATTAAACACAATTACAAGAAAACTCAGTACAGGTTTGGATTTTAGAAGTTCAGTTTAAAAAAGAAAGCAAAAAACAAGAGGATCCTTTTCACCTGGTCTTTTTAAGCAAGCTAAAAATATTCATCAATCACTGAGAGAATATTAAAATAAGAACAGAAACAAATCCAAGAAAATGTCAGACCAAGAAGACACAGTGAGGCACCATACTGATAGGAGGCAGGGAAATTTCTCTAAAAACAGAAAATAATCCAAGAAATACTTACTTGATAGAATAAGATGTGTCTGTGCTGACATCTTCAATTCGTCCCTTTTCCATTTTGTATGGCAAACAAAAACTGGGGTCGACTTTCTCAACTTCTTCTTTAAACTGCCAACAGAAACAATTAGATTGTGACATTTATAGATGTAGTTAGAGTTTGTCATTATTTACTAAGACAAAAGTATATAGAAAGTGCTTTAATTGCTAGATCATCCACTGTAAATTTATAAGTAAGTGCTTCTAACATTTCAACTTTCTTGGCAGATCTATTATGTGGAATATTTAATAACAATTTTAATAAAAAGAAAAAGAAAAACTAAATGAAAGTCAAGTACAGATGTATTATATACCATACATATGAACAAGAATGGGTATGTCCCAATCCTCATAAATATGTTGGACACTATTGTAAGTGGGGGTAATATGCTATCTAAGTAGTTCACCAGTAGCAGTGGTTTACCTACTTCACACTGCTGGTGAGTATTGTATTTTGTTGATGTTATAAAGATTACCATTTCATTTTCAACCTCCATTTTGGTTATTGCTTATTCAGCAACCCTTCCTAGGTTACAGTAATATGTAAAAAAAAAAAAATATTAATTTTAAATTTCAGTGCCCCCTCTCCTTCATGTGCATATGTAATCACATCAATATAAACATCACTCTAGTTCAATGAAGTCCTGAAGTCCCATTTTATCAGATTTTCATAAAATCATTAAATAAAAAAAAAATATTTACATTATTTACATGTTGACTATGATCCTTATCTTTGCTGTTGTTAACATGTTTCAGCCATTGTGCCCCCTGGACTTCAAGTGTATGTTGATGTGGGTGAAACTTGAGGGAATTTTGAACTGCACCAGTTATTTAATTTACAGGGTAGACTGTTCTCATGCCACTGCCCATGTCTAGGAATATTTCATCTCGTTTGTATTTTTAGTACTGCCAAGTTATTGTTCCATTTGTTTTCATTGATTTTAAGACAACATTGCCCAACCCAAGGATGGAACTCACAGCTACTATCTCACCAAATTCAGTGACGCTTTAATTCACTAAGACAGTGGTACCCAACCTTTTTTGAGCTCATGGCCCACTTTGAACCCAGAATTTTTCTGTAGCCCATGAAATTATTACAGTGTAAAAAATTACTTTCATCTTACATAGGTATATATCCGATAAAGATACAATTAATTTCCACCTAGCAACAGAATAGGGGTCACGTGGAAGTCTTATGACATTTTGGGGAAAACAAGTCAAAAGGTTGACTGACCCAATTACCCGTAGCGACAAATGTCTAGACAGAAGCTAGACAGGGGACTGATGTAAGCTGGAATTCGTGCCAAAACTTAAGACACGTGATAATCAGAGATTCACTTTGGAATCAGTTGCTATCTTGACTTTGAAGAAGCAAGACCTGAAGTCGAAGCGCTGATAGTTTATGAACGGAAAGATAAGACTCATTTGATAGTGATGGAACTTATCCAGTTCAACCCAGGCAACTCCAGACAAGAAATATAAGAATAAGTATTTCTGTTCGATAACCCCAAATTGAAGACGCAGAGAAATTTATACGCTGAGTATTCAGCCTGCATTTAAAGAAAAAGGAAAACCAGAGAGGAAGAAAGTGTATACCTCTGTTATAAGCTGAATTGTGTAAAGAAGAAGAAGGAAAGAAAGAAGAAAATCAAAGAGAGGAAGAAAGTGTATATTCCTGTTGCAGTGAGTCGGGTTTGGAAACCGAACTATCTACAGAAGAAAAAGGAAGGAAAGAAAAAGGCAAAACAAAGAGAGGAAGAAAGTGTATACCTCTATTACAGCCGGACAGTGTGTGAAATTGTGTTTGTGTCGAGAAAGGAAAGGACAATGATAAAAAAGAGAACTGAATATAAAAGATAAGTGATCATATTTTGGACCCGTAATAGAAAGATATACATACATCCATGAATATTATGTTCTTGCAAACACCTTTCCACATGTAAAAACAATAATTATAACTCCTATCCCATCTCTTTTGTGTATGCATTGGCTTCTGCATTCAATTCATAGTAATTCATACTTATATTTTTGTATGTTCGGGTTCAGTTGAATCCATTTGGAGTTAGGCGAATTTTGATATCCCAATGTAAGTCTTGAGATCTGGTCGTCAGATGTTTTAACTCATACTTATATTTTCTTTTATTTTAATATTTGTATATCTGTACATATTAAAGTTCTTGTATCAAAAATCACTAAGCCTTATAGTTCATCCTTGTATTGTGGATCGGTATTCGTGTTGAAAATGAAGCGAATCTGGGAAAAGATTACTGTTCGTTATCCTAATTGAACAGTGTTCTTAAAATATTTTTTTGTTTACCAATTGTCCATTGTCACGATCTGAGAGAGATAGCTTGTATCTCTCCACAGGTGTGAGAATGTATATATCTTCTGGTCGGCGTATGATCGCCTTATAAACCCATTCGTCGACATATGACACAGGTGTCTTGATAGACAAAGTAATTTCCATAGATCTTTTGAAAGTGATGTTACAAGTCATCTGTTATTTATGAACCATAAAGGAAATTATATATAGGTTAATATTAAAATTTTTTTTCTTTTGATTTTGTTTTCATAATGTTAAAAAGTCTATCTTACCAAAGAAATTTAACTTACAGATATTGAAAAATATGTGAAAAAGTAAATTGTTTACCTCTTGAAGACATTCTAGGAAGGCAACCATTGCTTGATCAAACCTGGAGATAGAGAAAGATGAAAATCAAAGATGAAAATATTCTGTAGTGCTAGTCCATGAGGTTCAAAGAAAGACAGTCCTCACTACAAGCTTCAGTCACTCAAAGCCTTTTTAAACTTTGATCAGAGAAAACAATTGTATACAGATGATAGTTTTAATATTTCTGAACAAGTTTGGTACCATGCATGACATCCATATGAAAGTCTCAATTTTACGAAGCAATTTAAAAGACATGACTCAAGTTTTTAGGTTAGTGTTTTGGTTTAGTAGAAACTTGTGGTGTTGGGGAAAACTATCCTCCAGCACAACCTAACCTATGTTCAATTTCCTTTTCTCCTGTACTAAATTTGTTATAACTGATCCATACACCAAGGTATTTGAACAACTTCTGCTTTATGAGAGATAAATGTAAATAAAATATAGATAATACTATATTTAGTAAGCGTTGATAGACTTAATGATGACTGACTTGTCAACTTGATTAGTATGTCTCTAAGTGAAAAAACATATTTGAATATACAATCAAAACACATCAAGAAAAGGCTCTAGACATTTAGATACTGTTGCTAATAATTTGAATAGTTGTATTATTGTATCAATCAATCAATTGTTTGTTTTGTGAGTAGAATAAAATGGTTGGCTTATGGATTTACTTTTGATCTGGTATCCAACAAGAAAAAAAAGAATTAAAAAAATAAAATTAAGCCTACTATACTCTTACTTTATTTCAGAAATCTTAACAAATATCATTTGAACCTCAAGGATATTTACATTTTTATAAAGATAAGTCCCTGTAGGTTGAAATTTTATTTTAAATTCCAACAGACGCTGAAAATAAATCAGAAAATAAAATTGCAACTAAAATATTCTATCATTTTAAATAGTTTCAGTTGATATTTTTAAATACTATGAACAAAAAAAATTCTTTTAAAAGATTTAATTACTTTTTTAATGTTTTAAAATTATTTATCATTTGTAGCTCCTTCTGGAATATTGTTAGCCAATAATAATTTCCTATCAATAATTGAAAAAAATATGTCAAGCCTAAAATGGGGATGGGTAGTGTTGGTCTTCAACACCCTATCTTTTAACTGAGCTACTTAAAATCACTGACCCATTTGCAGGAATATCACTAAACTTAATTAACTTTGACAATGACTTTATTAAAATAAAAAAAAATAAAAAAATTTGTAAAACTTTATATGAATAGAATTGGTAGAAAATTTGTATTTTTCAGTACTATATTATAAAGCAGGCTTTGTTAAACCTTCTGAATCATGACCCCATTTTGTTAAAAAAAAAAAAAAAAAGAAAGAAAGAAAATATATATATATATATATATATATATATATGTGTGTGTGTGGGGGGGGGATGATGGGTCCTTATCTGCCTGAGATAATGTGCACATTTCCAGTAAAATCAACAATTGGCAGTTTTTGTAATGAAAGAACTGGTACATAAAATACTCAACTTTAGAAAAACAATTTATAAAATCTTTGGAGGAAACACCACTCCTAAGATAATTTCTTCTTTTGAGAAAAAAAATTCTTACATGTTTATTCTTTCATAGGAACTAAATTGCATAGTATTTTACATTCATGAAATATGTGACTTAGCATGGTTACTATTAAATTTACTTTTAAATGTACAAAGTTTTTAGATTTTTGCAGAAAAAATTGCAATAACCATCAAATAATGACCTTCAAGTCTGAATACAGAATTAATAAAACAAACAAAAAACTTTCAATTGTACTTGCAAACTCGTTTCATTTTTATGTGACAACTTTTGGAAGGCCTGTTATAGAATGTTTACTTTTTTTTTTAATTGAAATTACAAAGTGAAAGAAAACTGAGAAAAGGATTTTTGCATGCCTATTACGAACTTCATTCAAAAAGTTCTAAGCCTCACTCAGAAAGTAGAGCCATAGCTGAACATTTTTCTTGCTGCAACACACTACCAATTCTTATAGAACTAAAAAAACTAATGCAGATTTCTGTATTAATTTCTGTTCAGGTGAGGTCCATACAACTGAGAAAGATGCACAGCAAATCAAAAAATGGACAAAACATTGGCCCGAGAAATTATAAAGTATCTGCAAAAATAAGGTATGTCACCCAAGGAAATCCATGAGGACACTTTCTGAGACTGTCCCTCCCTATGTCAACTGTGAAGAAGTGGGGAATTCAAGCAGGACAGGGACAGCACAGAAGATGACCCTTGGTCAGGTCATCCAAAAACCTTAACCATTGATGAACAAGTTGATGCTATTCACTATATAGTTTTGGGTGACAGAAGTCTTACTGCCCAGCAGATAGCTCTGTCTATAGACATTAGTTCTTGTTTGGTCTATATTGTTTTAACTGAGATCTTGGAGATGAGCATGCTGTCTGCAAGATGGGTCCCGAGAATGCTGACACCAGTGCAGAAGCTGAAAAACGTTGACATTTCCAGGACACTTTTGATTCACTTCCAGGCTGACTTTGAGAATTTCTACAGCAGATTAGTAGCTCAAGATGAAACTTGGATTCACAACTTAGAACCTGAATCAAAGATTCAAAGCAAATAGTGGAAACATTCTGGTTCTCCACCCCAAAGAAGTTTAAGCAGGCAGCGTCCTTTGGAAAGGTGATGGCTTCTGAAAGTGTAATCATGATAGACTAACTGGAAAAGGGAAAAAACTATTAATGGACAGTACTAGTGTTCAGAATTAAAACAACTTAAGTAAGTGGTCAAGTCAAAATGCAGAGTGAAGGTGAGGGTAGGTGTGCTCTGACTCTAGGATAGCACACCTTTTCACATTGCTCAGGTTGCAGTAATGAATCACTCAACTGTTGTTTTGAATTTCTACCTGACCCTCCTTACTAGACTTAGCTTCATCTAACTTCTTCCTGTTTCCTAAACTCAAATCCCACCTGTGTGGTCGCCATTTTGGAAACAATGATGAAATCATATGTGCTGTAGAAGAGTTTTTAGAAGACCAGGATGCCGTCTTCTATTGTGATAAGATTGCAATGCTTAAACAATGTTGCACCAAGTGCATTGATGTCAAGGGGGACTATATTGAAAAATAGTGAAAAAATCTTTCTGGGTGAGGCTTAGAACTTTTTGAACGACCCTTGTATGTTGTTTGTTTATGATGTATGCAATAATTACTTACTTGGTATCCCAAAAGAATCGGAATCCTCCTGAACCATAAAGTGGCAGTTCTTTGCTTTTGTCTGTGAGGGATTCAAGATAGGAATGATTTCCATAAGGAACCAATCGGTATCTGCAAAAAGACAACAGAAAAAATAAGTGGACAATAAAAAGGATTCATATACACCCTTTGACTATTGATTGATCAATTCGTTTTCTATAGTTTATTGATCCTTTGCAGGTTATTTAAAGTCTGAAAATATTTTTAGATTCTAAGAATTTTTGAGGAGATATGATGGTTTAATGATTCAAGTTTTATTAATTAACCCATATCTGGGAGGAGAAGAGATGGATTCAGACCTTTCTCAAGTGTATTTGCGTGTAAGTGAATATAATGAATCTATCTCAAATTGGAACTTCACTCCAAGTCATTATCCATTAAACTACCCTCACATCCAAGCTTACGGCACCTGGTATACCTAAGCGGTCACTCATCTAGGTACTGACCAGGCTCAATGTTGATTAACTTTGGTGATCATACAGGAACTGGTGTTTCAATTTGATATAGCCATAAAGCCTCTTTGACAGCTGAAGAGGCCAATATAATATTGCACTGAAGTAAGAGCCACCACTGAGGTTTGAACTTACTCTCTACAGCTTGAGATAAAATAAAAAGCAAAATGGGAATAAATTCTGAATAAAATAAGAGCAATAATGAAAATACATCAGCTGAAAGAAATTGTTATGATAAAGTCAAAAAAAAGTTTCCACAAAGAATCAGAATGGTCAGCATGATAGAATGAGCAAAGTTTTGTGCTCTACAGGCTTCCATGGCTGAAGAGGTTAAAGCAATGTCCATGGTTGACAGGCTTTTGAAGTGTGGAATGTAAATTCAAGTCTTGTTAAAAGCTACTGCCTTATTTCAGATTTTGCCCTGATTATCGGAGAGCTGAGTTTCAATTCCAGTCCAGTTCATCACATTCTCTTACTTGTAAATACTCTTGGGAAAGGTATGAATCCATCTCTTCCACCCCAGCTATGGGTAAATAGCAGGACAGATTGGGTGGTAATTGATCTAGGAGAAGGACAACTATGATTTCAAATCCTCCAACTATGGGTTAAATAACCTCACCAACTAGCAATTGGCCAAGCATAGTGAGTATGGCTACACTTCTGAAGACATGGTCAATCAGGGAGAGGTTCCTTCAACAGGAGTGAAAAGGATTTAGATTTGGATTATAGGGCTTGAAGTATGCATCAATCCAGAGTATTGTAATAAGAAAAAAACAAAACAAAATACATTAAAGTTATCTTCATCATTCGTATGACCAAGTGTGGTTGTAGGGTCATTGCATAGCTAAGTACCTGACTAGCCCCATTGATATGTCTTGTTTCATTGCCAATGTTTTATTCTTAGGGAACTAGTCCCCTAATCCACTCAGTGACATTGTTAACCAGTTTTTTTTTTTTTTTTTTTATCTGCCTGCCTCTCTCATTTTGCCTAACGTGGTAACTTTTTTTTTTTTTAATCAATTCACCCCAAGCAAGGGAATAAAGCCACTAAGAAATAAGCAGTTACTGAGTATGAAAGAATATAAGAGAAAGAAATACATTATTCAGGGGAGTGAACAATAAAAAAAACAGGAAAAAAACAAGACAAAAGACAGCAATTGACACTGCATTTAAATTTTTTGAAGATCAAAGTTGATTGGAAAATAGTAGGTCAGAAGAGAGTTCTGTAATAGAAAAATGTGTTTTAAAGAATGGCATCTGGGAGAGCTTGAATAAATATTGATCCAAGTCTGGTAAAAATCATTATTCTGTCAATGTCTGTTTTATGGTATATCAACCTATTGGGTCATTTAATGCAGAAATTTAATGTTTTCCTAATTAAAGCTTTGTATTTAAACAGTCAAATTTTTTTAAAATAGTAAGACTGCTGTTAGTTATGGTTATATTTAAAATATATATATATATATATATATATATGAAATCTGTTTTGTTGGTAATTGTTTTAACGTAGGGAAGGTTACTGAATAGAATAATCATACGAAGGTTGGTAATGAATGATAATACTTAGGACAAGAACAACACATATAAGATTCATAGAACGCATAGAAGTATTAGTCACTGCTAGAAGTGAGTCAAGTGAATTCCACAATGAATCTCCAACTGTAGACCAACATACAGTATTCAATACTGTATTTATGGGAATGGGGTCATACCTATTATTGTCTGTAGATATGCTACAACAGTAATTTTACTATATAAAAATGTATTGCTAGTATTTTTACTATAAAAATATATTTTTTAACTTTCATAGTGTTTTGTTTTTGCCCATGGCTGTGACCAAACAGGTGCTACCACCAGGGGTTAGGGTGGATCTTGAAACAACAGCAATTAAGAGGTGATTCACACTCCTCAAAACTGCCAATCTCTCGATCAGAGGTCTTGCTGCTGGATGTAGTTTATCATCATACCCAGGACTATTATCCTGTCATGGTTGGGGTGGGGGAAATGTTATGAGGGAATGCAACTTATTTCATTGTTTAATAATACATAATAAATATTTACAGAGTGAAGATTAAAACGGGGCATTTTAATGTCAAAAATGAGATTTGAAACAAATGCTCACATAGGTACATAAAAGACATTAGGTTGTTGATCACTCTTATACATTAATTTACTTAGACTAGTATTCTCATCTTAGTTGTTTTAGTCCCATTGTTTTGGCCAAGGTATCCTCCCATCTTCTCCAAGTTACTGTCATAGTTTGTGACCTTCTAAACCACTTGTGTATGTAAATCAGTGATTAATAATTCGTTATCTCAAAAATTCAGGTATAAGCAAAAAAATACATTTTTGTTCAAATATTGACAACTACTTACTGTGTGAATTTAAGGTTCATCTTCTTTGCCAATGCATGAAGCAACAAAACAGTCTGGCCCCAAGCAGCATTGATTTCATTCCAATCAACCTGTAATTAAATGGTTAATAAAATTACTTTGCATTGTCAGGGGCTTAAATTGCATATGGAATTCTTATCAATAAAAAGGAGAAGAAAGAAAAATAAAAGGAAAAAGAAGAAAGAGAAATCTAACCTGTGCATTTGGTAGACGTCCAAGTCGAAAGTTATTGATGGTCACAAAATGGCCATTGTGCCTATTAAATAAAAAAAATTGACAAAGTTTAACCTCTGTACCCACAAAAGATATTATATGTCAAAAGGACAATTTTTCTCTTGATAATGCTATCACTGTATACACCCTTGACATTCTTGGCAATGTTCCTGGTTTTAAAAATATTTTATTTCTTTATAAAATGGCAAATAATAAATATTGCATTGTAGTTAGCTCATATATTTTTTAAAATCTTGTAAATAAACAATCTAACAACTAAATAGTGTTTAAAATTTTTTTACTATTAAAATTCTAAACATAGTTCTTTAAAACAATAAACATTACTTAGAGAGTTCAGGAGTATAATTTAATAGTGATATCATGAGAAAGACCATCCTTTTGACACACTTTTTGTGAGTACATAGTTTAAACATTGCCAAAGAATTATTATACATGCCTGAAAACCACACCATAGATTGTAAGTGAAATTGGGTAGACAGAATTGTACATTGACGGTAATGCGAGCACAAAGTTACAAGTCATCGTGACCAATGGTTTGACTGTACTGGTCTTGATCAAACTTTTGATCACACCAAATGATGCAGTCTCTCCCAGAAACTGTAACTAAGGTCATCTCAGCACAGGTGGACACTGTGGGTGTTGAATAAACATGTGCCTGTGCAACATGAATTGACTAACCACCCTACAAGACAGGCACACTTGGATAAGAGTGGCCAGCCATTATATGATTATTATATGCATAATTCGACTATTAATCTTTTAAGTTTCTGTCAATAGAAAATAAATATTGTTTTTATTTTTAATTTCTGTTGGTGACAGGAAAAATACCTTTCAATGATTGAGATTAAAATGTCCATTAAACATTTGTTTTTCCTCAGAAAAGGTGAACCAGTATCTTTTAAAATGATTTTGTGACAATAAATTAATCTTTGTTCCTTTTGTTAGAATGACTGTTCATTATATTATATGATATAATCATTGTATTATATTATAATCATTATATTATATCATGACTATTTTCAGATATTGTTATCATTGGTCAATTTAGTGAGGAGTTACTTTTTTCTCTGTAGTTTAAATTACAATATTTTGCTCCATTTTTTCCAGAAAGAAAAAGAAAAAAAAAAATTTTTTAAAAAACTAAAAACAAACAGGATTTAAAATCCTATTCACCAGACATGACATAAATGAATGGAGTGAGTACATACCATATATGGAATGTAGCATTAAAGACGTTGGTTTTGGTCAATTTTTCCAGTTGGCTTTGTGCATAACGTAACTGCAACTGGACACTAAAAATAATACAAAAATCAAATGGTTACTGCAGTGAATAATATTATTGGTAGACCAACTTCAAATTCCAGCCAATTCAGTTACATTTAATTTACACAACAACCCTCAGGAAAGTTATAAATCCATCTTTTCTCTTTCCAACTATGGACAAAATTGTAAGGCAGACATGTTTCTTTAGCTTTGGTAGGATAATCAATCTAGGGCTACATTTTTGGAATTAAAATTTACTTACTCCTCACCACATTTTATGTGATAAAAAGTACATTTAAAAATAAAAAAAAAAAGAGGGCTGAAAGAAGATTCAAATGCAGGTTCAAAATCAGAACATCATCATTGATAACTCTCTCCTCCAATTTGTGGACCTTAGTTACTATATTCTTAATACTTTAAATATATCGCAAAGATAAAATCGCTCAATAACTATAGTGGGACTCATGCATGCAATTACAAATAATCCATAATAATATTTTAATTTTTGAAATCATATTTATTTTTTACATATGAATTTTTTGAAACTGTTTCTAAATCATTGTCTTTCAATCATTCTACTTCATTATATGGACAGCGAGTGAAGGGCAGCCAATGAAACAGTCAGCAGTCAGTGAAACAGCCAGGCAGTGAGTGTGTAGGGATTTGTTTTCCGTGGCTGGAGCTTAGTGAGAAGTTAGATAGAAGAAGCTTGCTTTCTCATATCAGAAGGAAGGCATTGCTGATTAAGTGAGAAATCATATTTTTTTTGTTATTCCCAACCCAACAAGTATCTTGAAAAGCATTTGTTGCTATTGTTTTGTCAATGTCAATCATGACTTTGATTGAGACAAATCTGTGGAACCATAGCAAGTGTCAGTGTATTTGCATACAGCTGACCTTGGATGTCATCACAGCTTGTGCAATGATGTGCAGAATAACATTATCACACATTATAGGGCCTGGATTATTCTAAGATCTTTTCCAAATATGTGATGGTTAGCAGTTCCAACAGTTAGAAAAAAGAAAAGAAAAAAAAGGCACATTTTAAAGAATTAAGGAAATATATTTTCAAAATGAACAGTACATTATATTTAGAAGGATGACAAATGAAGATAATTTTTGTGAGGAATGCCTTACCTTCTTTGTTCATCTTCAAACTGATGAAGATCTCGTTTCAATTGATTATACTCATGCCAGTACCTAGGAAAACAAGAAGAAAGGAAAATATATTGTTTTAATAACCAGAGAAATAAAAATAATGACTCAAGTTAGGCTTTTAAAATACTTGAAAGAAGAAAGGTTTCTCTTAAACTGTTCAATTTGGGCTTTAAGATTTTCCCCTGGGTATAAAATATTCAAAATACATTTCCAAGTTTACTGATCAGTTATTTTTGCTACTGTTTATCCAATACAAGGCCCAAAAGTCACTCAAGGTAGAGGTGGATATTATGAAGATATGTAGGACAGATAACAGTTGACTTTAGACTTGAAGAGCCCAAGATTGTAGTGATCAGGGAAGAATTCACTCGGGAGCATGTTACAAGTAACAGTTCTGAAGAAGAAGCTAGTGAAACTAAGGAATATATCTTGTCTGAACATTTGCCCCTTCTTCTGAAGTCTAGTTTTCTAAACAGCATCCGCTCTGATCAAAGGGGAAAGCGAAAGTGAATGAGGGGTTTTGGGAGATCAAGTGACAACAAAACTGGAAATAGGGTGTATCCGGGCACTGGTCTATATTAAAGGTCATGCTTAGAATTGGAGAGAGTAGTTCTGATGCTGTCTATTCATATTACCAACTACCCAGTGAGATATGTTGATAGGTGAGGAGTTGGTAGGATGGAAGAGCTGACATAGAAGTTGTTCCAAGTATCACCTATCTACCCAACCACCTGGATGAGCAGATGAAGCCCTGAATAAAACATCTACACGCAATATAGGAAACAGGGCTTGTGTTAGCATTAATTGATGTGGCGTTTGTTGTTCGCTATATTACCTTGTGGGCATGCAACCAGCACTTGATCAGCTTTTTGGTGCATACTGACAAGATCAAAAACTGTAATGCAACATAGGGGTGATCATTGGCTAGTTCGTCAAAAGCTTGGGCAAGGGTCACATTGTATCTTTACAGTTGACAGGAAAGCAAGAAGCCAGAAGAGAGTTTCAAAGGCAAGAATTTTAACAGAAGTAACTATTAGAATTTATGGTTACATTTAACAATTTCAACTGTAAAATGATGAGACCTAGCTGCCAATCTAGTGCTGTGCTTCAATTCATGAAGTTAAGGTAGCAAAGATGAAAACACAACATAACAATTACCATGAAAATATTTATGGAAAAGGTAGAGGGAGCGTGCTGTGAAAGTGACTTGAGCCTAGATGCCAGGTCAGAACTTAGAATTAAAAATCAAAAAGAGTTAAATTTTTGATAATAGCTTTTGACAAAAGGAAAAAAAGTGGCATGAAATATTCATAAAAACATCAAATAAAAAAAAAAATATGGAACAAAGACTAACTTCTCTTCCTCTTGATCCAATTGCTTGGCAGTTTCTTTCTCCTTTTGTATAAGGTTTGATAACTCAGCTCGTTCAGTCTCAACTTTTTCTAACTGTTCCCGCAAATCCTTTTCCTCAATCTGCAATTTTCTCAACTCATCATCCAATGTTTTCAAGTCAACAGTCTCTTCATCTGTGTCCATGTTGTTCAGGAAATCACTATTAAAAAGAAGAAAAAAAAGAAAAATACAGAATGTAAAACGAATTAATATTTAAAAAAAATAAATAAAAGTTTCAACTTGGGTGCATATCTTTCATATTTTCTTAGAGAACAAATTCTAAGTTAAAATTCTAATAGAGTCATCGAGTAGCAATATTCCTTTTGAATTAGTGATAGGTAACATTTCTAAGAAGTGAACTGCATGGCTGCTCTTGTTATTATGTTCACTTTTTCTGCTTTAGAAAAAACTGAGGAGGATGTGAATAAACATTGAAATAGTAAAAAAATTTTCTAGTTTATTAAAGAAATGTACGGATTATATACGAGTAGTTTTTTAAGATCTACTTTCGATTTTCATATTTGATAAAAAGCTTAATCAATAAGTTTTTGTTTGACTATTGCTTGGTATTAAGATTAGTAAGGGGGGCAACTCTTTAACAAAATACTGGATTTATCTTGAAAACTCTTCCGACTGAAGTTACCAAAGATTCTTCAAATGGTGTGCAGTTTCCAGACAAAAATATTCTAATATATTTAGCAAATTGACTTTTTTTTAAAAAAAAAAAATAAATTCAGCCCAAGAAAGGTGATAATGCCACTAAGATGCAATGTACGGATTATATACGAGTAGTTTTTTAAGATCTACTTTCGATTTTCATATTTGATAAAAAGCTTAATCAGTAAGTTTTTTGACTATTGCTTGGTAGTGAAATTAATAAGGGAGGCAACTCTTTAACAAGAAATACTGGATTTATCTTGAAAACTCTTCCGGCTGATGGTACCAGATTCTTCAAATGGTGTGCAGTTTTCAGACAAAAATATTCTAATATATTTAGCAAATTGACTTTTTTTAAAGAAAAATAAATTCAGCCCAAGAAAGGTGATAATGCCACTAAGGTGCAAGTGAGTACTTGGAGTGAAAGAGAATGAAAGATTTTAGAAGGATCCAGAAACCTAATTCTAAACAGGAAACATGGCTTAAACATCTACTCCTGTTCAAAAGGACCTATCTACTTCCACTAGGAGGAAAAAAAAAGAAAAAATAGTAAATAAAATTTCAGAGTTTTAGGCAGAGACATTAGAAATATAGATTATAGATATAATGGCAAACATGGATAAATGTGTCCTTAATAAGAGAATGTTAAAAGTCAGTTTTATACATGACATTGCTTTTTTAATGGCCTTCACTCTTTGGTAATGTTGGTTTTAAAAAGTGATGATTAGAATTGTAATAAAACCTAAACATAAGAATGTGAATTTATCCAATTTCTTTATTCTTGACAATTTACAACAAAATTAATAAAAACTATTAGATTATTTACACTATTTATTTATTTATTATAATATATATTGGAATGGTTAGCAAAACATCAGTTACTTGCCAATTAATTCAAACATTATAAAATGGTAAATAAGGATTTCCTTATAGTTGGTTTACATATTTTAATAATTTAGTAATTATTTATAAACTTATGAATAAAAAATTGTTTTCACAATTATTTCTTTATAAGTTGGTAAATTGTAAATATTGCATTGCGTTAGTTTTAATTGTATTACTTTTTAGAATGTTGCAAATCTAAAATTATTCTTGTAAATAAACAATCTAATAGTGTTTAATATTTTTGCTGTAAATTCTCAAGAACAAAAAATAATGCATCAATTCACTTTCACTAAATTCATTCCAGTTTTAATCATTGTTTCTTAAAACAAACATTACCAAAGAGTTGAAGGTAGTTAAAAAAAAAAAGTCAAGGGAAAAACTGTCCTTCTAAGATTATGTCTTATTGCAGGCACATACGTTCAGGTTTGCTGAATTAGCAAAAAAAAAAAAAAAAAAAAAAAAGGACAAGTTATAGATGGTGTGTTCATAGAACGAATGTTCCCACTTATTCCTTTCTTCTCTGCTTTTCTGTGCAGACAGACAAAATAAAAGAAAGACTTTTTTGACAAAGATGATTACAGAAGAAAGAATTTTATGCCTTTTTTAATCTCTTTCTCCTGAATCAAATGTTTCAATAAAATATCTAAAGTTTATAAAGTAGCATTTTCTGTGCCTTAACACAAAACTAAAAGATCATTGGCCAAAGGAACATCACAAGCTGTTTTCAATATTACAATACATAACTTTGGCAATAATCCCTAAACCATTCTGGTCTTAAGAAAAACAAAAAAAACCAAACAAACACTTATTAGTTGTGATTTTCCCTTGGGTTCATCATGAATTTAAGAGGGCTTACTTGTATTGTTTGCATTCTTTTTCTGTAAAATCTAACTGGAGATCCAGTTGGTCGAGCAAAGTGTCTGTACACTCCTGTAAAGAAAGAAATTATGTCTCAAATAAAATACAAAGTGTAACAAATATTTTCCATGAAGTTCATCAATCATTAATCAACCCCTTTTTCTCAGACAAAATGTCGCAAACCTCTTGCTCCTCTGTCAATATTTCCATGGAAAGTGTTCAGATGAACTGTATTCCTTAGTTCTACCAGTTCTAACCTTCCTGGCTAAGACCTGCCATGCCACACATAGAGCAAATCACATTCTCTTTCTTATTCAATCACTAAGATATAAGTACCACTTGAGGAGCTGCTTCCCACAAACTGCTGTTTTGTGGAAGTGATTCCCAAGAGGCTGCTTCCCCAATCACTACAATCTTAAGCTATTCAAGTCTATGATTAACTATTATTTTCCTCACATATCTGCATAAACTGTGCTTCTTACTCTGTAACTCTTTACCTTGAGTGGTTCTCAGGCCTTGTACAGAGTGAACATCATAGTAAAAAAAATTTTTTTAAACTTAATGAGGTAAGTATTCAATTATCTAAGCTCTTTGTGGTGGATAAAACTTATTATTGGTAATGTTAAGGCAGAGTGGGAAATTTGAAATTGTATTTGGCATGTAAATTATTGAGTTGGTGGGATGGACATACTGCTGAAGAAAATTTAAAGGAAAAAATAAATAAAAGCAGCATGCACACTTACCTCACACAGAGGATGGTCAACTTCAGATTGACCAGACATTATGTCAAATAGATGACCAATAACCTTGAAAAGAAAGAAACAAGCACTTTTATTGTATATATTAATATTTACTACAAATACTAATTTACCTGGACTGTAAAAAAGAAAAAAAGAAGTTAAAGTAAAATATTTGCATTGCATTGTTTGATTTGTTTGTTTAATGGCATATCAACTCCTTATGGGTCATTTACTGCTGAAATTTAATTTTCCTAGGAACTTTGAAGCAGTAAAAATATGATATATGTTATTCTGCTTTCACAATTGAATATATGGTAGATAATACTCAGCTTCTGTGCATATACATGTTTGTGCAGAAATGATTATTAGAGGCAATGATATGTGTTTTATGTTGTAGTTTTTTTGAAGTTATATTTTGGAATAAAGTTTGATTTCTTTAAGAAATTGTAGGATATTATATGGACTAATGTCATGAAAGTTCTTTCATGTTGGTTGTTTGATTTTGTTTGGCGGCATATCAACACCTCTATGGGTTATTTAATGCTGAAATCTAAATATTTTATATGTAATTTTATGCTTCCAAATACAGATATTTTGTACATCATTTTATACTTTCAGTGTAAAGATGTGTGTTTTAGATATATATTTTGTAGATCACAAAATGTATTGTTGGTAATTTTGCTATAAAAATGTACTGTTGATTTTTGTTTAGGGGTTCACTATTTGCCCATAGCTGGGACCCTAACAGGTGCTATCACCCCAAGTCAGGGTGGACCTGGGAAAAACAGCAATTAAGAAATGATTCCATGCTCCTCAAAACATCCAATTTGCCAATCAGTGGCCTTGCTGCCGGATGTAGTTTATCATCATACCCAAGACACGATTGCATTGGTTTTATTTTCTGCATGAATAATCTACATTTCCTTTCTAGACAATTAATTCCTATTAATTTCTTATTGCCCGGTTCCTGATCCTCCCTGGTCTTTGAACAGGAGTAGAGATTTAGGAGTGGGTTTCCAGTTCCTTCTTCAACTCTATACTTTTAATGTCTCTGCCTGAACTCTGAAATATTATTTACTAATTATTTACTTAATTTTTCTCCTCAGTAAGAATAGACATATTCGCCTATCATCTGGTTCACACTCCTCCAAGAACTTTTGAACAGGAGTAGAGTTTTCGCTTACTTCCGGTTTAGAATTGGGTCTCTGGTTCCTTCTAAAGACTTTTCATTCTCTTTTACTCAAAGTAGCCTTTGTGTCTTAGTGGCGTTATTGCCTTGTTTGGGGTGAATTGATATATAAAAAAAATTTATTGTCACATGTACACAGATGTGCTAAAAGTCAGAGGGGGTACAGTTTGTAAAGGTAATGGTAGGTAGTGCCACTGCAACTTCATGTCATGGATATGACTAGACCTATTTTTAAACAGGGTATATTAGTGAGTATCAGACGGCCGGTACATTATGTTTTGGAAATTACATTAGTTATATTTTCTGCATGAGTACTCAGACTTTTTGTATACAATTAACTTTGTTGCACTGTAAAAAAAAATTCTAAAGAAAACCAACATGAAACAAAAGAAATAAGAAAAAATATATTAAAAACCTGTTACCACTAATTAATAATGAGACATTCCATTGTTATGTTAACAGGAAATATACTGACTTATTTTCAGTAATTAATTCCTTGTTATCATAACAATGGAATATCTCTTAAGTATAGGAGATCAGGCTACATGACCAACAAATATATAAAGCCATGTTGAATATCAAGAAGTAAATGTTTAAAAAGTGGGTAGGGCAAAACACACACACATGCAAGTGGGGGATTTATTTTGAACTTACCTTTAATTTGATACTTAGATTTTCCATGACACCAAGTCCTGTTTCACCAAGGAGTGTGAAATCACTGCTGCCTTCATCTTCAAATATATAGTTACTGAAAATAATAATATAGGTGTCTTAAAAATATTTTAAATGACTTAACATGAGAAAGGAAAATGAAAATAGATTATTATAATTCCAAAAAGAAAATAAAAACAGAAAATTGTAAGTATGGCTTATATTTTTTGATTAATAATTTACATGCAGGGTATTTTTTACTCAGGCACTTAATCCACCCTAATTATAATTATTAATATTGAGCTGGTCAAAAAGTTTATTAGATGCCATTAGGAGTGTTTGGTAATGGTAACATTAGCTCTTTCCTTGTAAGGAAACATTCAGATATCATATTTGAAGTCGTGTGGAATATCAACATAATAGGAGTAGCTATGTTCGTCTTTTTGAACAGGAGTAGAGACCTATCCCTTGTCCCCTTGTTAAAGATTGGCTTTCCAATTCCTTCTAAAGTCTATTCATTCTCTTTCACCCCTAGTAGCCCCTTGCATCATGGTGGCATTATTACCTTGTGAAATGATTTAAAAAAAAAGAAGTCATTTTCTTTTTGAATTACATTTAATAGTTGTTGCTGCTGAAAGTTCTCAAGTGATGTAGTTTCTGTTAATAATAATAATACAGTTCTAATCATCTCATCTGAGAGAGAGAGAGAGGGACATTTCATGAGTTTAGCTGCTTTGTTTTGACTAATTCCATTCATGCTGTTAAGCCTTCAGTTAATGAAATTCTTTAAAACTTAAAGATAATTCTTTACCCAATCAAACAAGAGGCCTTTTATTTTATAATACTGAAAAATTTATTCACGAATCTATCTGCAATAATGGTAACATTAGCTGTTTCCTTATGAGGAAACATTTAGCACTCATTGACTAAGCAACCAGTGCTAATGTCACTTGAGATTTATAACATTTTTCTATTAAAAACTATTGTTAACTAGGTATTTAGAGATTCTAGATAAAATACAAAGAATCTGCAATGTTATTGGTACTGACTTGATATCTCAGCTTCAGTCACCTTCTTAATGTAGCTTCCCCACGCCTTTTCTATAAATACTTTCATGGTAATTGTTCTGATGTAGCTTTCCTCTTTGGTATGTAGACTTTATGAATTTCAGTGCAGTACTAGATTGGCAGTAAGGTCTCATCCTTTTATAGTTGAATTGGGTAGATGTAACCATAAATTCTATGCTAAAAGTTTCTTTTTTCACACTTCTCCCTTGTGGAACTATCTTCTGGTTTCTTGCTTCCCAGTCAATTTTGATCTTCAAAAATTTAAATATCCTCTTAGTTTCTGTTCTTTTATTGTCCTCTCAATGTTTTCTTCTTCTCAAACACTCAGTAACTCATTGTGCCTTAGTGGCTTTATTGCCTTGTTTGCTTGCTTGGGATGAAATGATTAAACAAAAAAAAAAAAAAAAAAACAGGTTTCTCAAGTCCACTGTTATCACTCTTTTCAGTATTAAGGGAGGGTGTTCCTTCCTAATCTTTTGTTTGAAGTAGCATGGAATGTCAATTGCCTTCAAATTATATGTGAAATCCATTTTAGTTGTTACTGCAAGTCCTCAAGTGATGTGGTTTCTGTCATTTGGTACTGTTGTCTGTGAGTCTATAGCACCAGTCCACAAGGTTAAAAAAAAGGATGGTTCTCACTATAACCTACAGGCTTTATTAACTTAAACCTATTTTTAAACAATGATCAGAGAAAGTGGTTGTATAAAAGATGACAGTTTAGATATTTCTGAATGAGTTTATCGCCATGCATGACGTCCATATGAAAGTTGTGATTTGACAAGGCTATTTAAGAATATAACTTTAGGTTAAGGCTTTGGTTTAGTTTTAACTAATTTCATTCAAACATTTCTGTGATAGCTGTTATATCATTTGCATTTTTGATTACTTTTAACATTGAAGAGAGAAGAAAATAAATACTTTTAGCAATATTTTATGTCAAGATATGTAAAAATTTGATGTAAATGCAAAAAGTGTAGTTTATGAAAAAAGTACTGTAAATGATTGTAAAATATTCTGAAGTGGTTTTCAAAGTTTATACATTTTTTGAGGGTCATCCTGTCGACAATCTTATAAGTTTATATGGAAAGAGAAAAAATTACAATACTTACTCTTGAGGTCGTATATACCTCTGGACTGTGTAAGGCTGAGTTGTGAAGTCCATTTCCTGGAAATGGAAAGAGTGAAAGAAAAAAATGATTGATAAAGAATGTGTTTTTTTTTATTTGATGATGTATTATAAAAGTTTAAACAAAATTTATTTTATAAAATTTTGCAATATTCATGCATTCTAAAATTATAAGAAATATTAAATGCAAAAATTCATACAAACTTATAAAAACTGTAATAGGAACACGATATCTGCTTAATCTTACAGAATAATAGATTGCAAAAAAAAAAAAAATCTTCACAGTGCTTTTGATAAAATCCTAAGATTTTAAAATGCAGTTTTTTACAACTAAATAAAATAAAACAGTTTGACAGAATATGTGCATCTTCTTGTGTGAGGGTACTAATTTGGCTGTTATAGTCTCCCCATGGGTATGTGGGGAAGGATTATCATCACAGAAAGTGGAATTAGCAAGCCAAGTTTCGTTCTACTTTATGTTTACTTCATATTAATGCCCTTGGAAAAAGGCGCAAATCCATTTCCTTACTAAGCAGCACCAACACCACCAGCCAGATACCAGTTAAATAAGAGGGCAAAATGAGCTCTCCAGCCTTGGATGACAGCCAGTCTAGGAGAACAACAACTTTGAATTCAGAACTACTTCACTATCTTTTCGGGCAATTCACAGCAAAGAAAGAAAACAGAATTGGTGTAGAGCCATGATAGCCTACTTCCTGAAGGGACAGTTTTTTTTTTTAATACCAATACAAAGTCCAAGAGCCACTCAAGGTAGAGGATTGCTAAATGAGTTAATTGTAAAAAGAGAGAGCAATAGGTGTATATTATGAGGATATGTATGATAGATAATCGCTGTCCTTAGACTTGAAGAGGTTAAAATAGTAGTGGCCAGGGGAGCATCCTCTCAGTTGTCTGTTCCACTATGCAACAATTCTGGGCCAAAAGCTGAGTGGAATTTCTTTCTTACCAATGGAATATGAAAGGACTGAGGATGAGTTTCCTCAGTGTACATGCTTAGACAATATAAAATGTTTAAAACTTAATGATAATTATTCTAAATGTAATTAATTTCTTAAAATAAAATCTTTACTTATGGAGCATGCATATACAGAAAAAAAAACAAAAAAACTTAAGCACTTCTTTTAAACTGGTGAATGAAATCTGAATGAAAAAAAAATGAAGGAGTTAAATTTAGATAATTTATTATTTATCTCTGAAAAGCATTAGGATCCAATTGGAAGAATTTTGCTTTAATAAACAAAGCAAGGAAAATATATTCTGTCTCAATCATTATCAAAACATTTATATGTTATAGTTTGGTTTGGTTTAGTTTAGTTTAAGGGATATTAACCTCAATGGGTTATTTAATACTGACAAGATTTTTATTGTTGGAAATATTTTTTCTTCAAAAATATATTGCTTCTTCTGACATCTGTATAAGCTGTACCTCTTACTCTATAACACTAACTTGAGTGGCTCCCAAAGCCTTTTAGGTGGATGAACACCACTAAAAAAAAAAAAAAAAAAAAAAAGGGGGGGGTCTTGACCCTTTGGATACCCTTCCAATTATGTCATAAAGTAGCAAACCACCCTCATATCCCCCTGGTGAGATTTAAGTTCTGCTCAAGCAGCTTCTTACCACAAACTGCTGCCTTGTGACTTGCTTGTAACTTGCTGGTAATCATTTTTCTTCAAATATTTATTGCTGGTAATAACTTTTTTACAAAGTATTTCTAGTATTAAAACCGGTTTTTACATTTCATTTTCATAGTGTTTTGACTCCAGGTTATGGTGGACCTGAGAACACTAGTAATTAAGAGGTTGTTCCATGCTCCTCAAAACCTCCTGATCAGAGGCCTTACTGTTGGGTGTAGTTTATCGTCTTATCCTGGACGCAGATGTAGTTTATCATCATACCCAGGATGGTCAAGTTTGGCGATAATAGTGTAAAAAGTCTTGCAGCTGTAGCTAACAAAGTTTGTAGCCGTGTCTGTATTTTCTTTCTTTTTTTTTTTTTCACTTTTTTCTACATTATGTTATCAAGAATCCTGATGAGACTTTTTTTTTTTACAGTTCATCTTTCTCTTCTATGTCCTGTGACCCTTCAAGAACACGAGTGATCATGGTTCTCCGTAACCTCCTATCTTTTGTAGCTTCTAGCAATGTTTGTCCCTTTGCCAAGCTCCTTTCTCACAGATGAGACATCACAAGCCACTTGCTGCTCTATAGCTGTTTTCATGGTATGTGTTCAGATGGACTACACTCCTTAGTTCTGTCAGAGCTGCCATGCTATGCACATTGGAGCAAACCACCCTCATTCCTTTATGTCCCATTGGTGAGATGTAAGTTCCATTTGAGCAGCTTCTTTTCACATCTGTATAAGCTGTACCTCTTACTCTGTAACCTCTAACTTGAGTGGCTCCCAGAGCCTTTTAGGTGGATGAACACCACTAAGAAAAAAAAAAGGGGGGGGGTCTTGACCCTTTGGATACCCTTCCAATTATGTCATCAAGTAGCAAACCACCCTCATATCCCCCTGGTGAGATTTAAGTTCTATTCAAGCAGCTTCTTTCCACAAACCGCTGCCTTGTGAAACCAACAACCAAGAGGCTGCTTCCTAATCACTACAATCTTAACCTGTTCAAGTCTAGGGCTAACTGTTATCTTCCAGACATATCTGCATTAGCTGTACCTTTTACACTGTAACCCTCTACCATGAGTGGCCTTTAGGCCTTGTACAAGGTGAACATCATTATAAAAAAAAAAAAAAAAGAAAAAAAAAAGTAATGTCACTGTTCTGCTATGTATTTAGACAAGCTTGTCAGCTAAAGGGTCTGCTGCCTTTGATATGTTCTGTGAGTGTCAAATTCTCCAAGCTCTATTTCCCCACTATGTTTCCAAGAAATGCCTTTTTAGTTTTCATTTTAAGACTTCTTTGTTGATTAGGCACTTCATCCACAGTATTCTCAGCAACCTTCTGTAGAACCAAATTTCTGTGGTCTCCAGTTTACTCTTCATCTGTGAGGAGATTGTTCAGCATTCACTGTCATAAAAGAGGATTGATATTACATGACAATTCAGCACAGTTTTCTTGGTTTCTAATGAGATTTTCCTATCTCTTAATACTTTGTTTAGCTTTTGGAAGGTATCTTTGGCTATTCCCAAAAATGTGTTTAGATTTCAATGTCACATTTTCTGTCCCACAGTTAAAACAGTTCCCAGAAACTTAAATTTCTGTCCTTGTTTGATGGTGACGTCACCAATTTGTAGTTTGTGAAAATGGGTTTATAATTGTAAGTATGCAGTTTCCTTGTTCACCTCACCTTGTTTATCTTTAACATTGAATTCATGTTTAATATTATTCTATGTTTAATATTATTCTATGTTTTATACCTATTTATTTTCTTTTCTATTGTGATGGAATACTGAATTTGAAAGGAAAAAAAATTTTAAATATAATATTCACAAAGAATAAATAAAGCACAATATGCCAACTGTAAATTCATTGGCAAAAATAACTGGGATGTCATGCCCCACATTTAATTGTGCAATGTGGGTACCACATGTATCATAGGACTGACTGCTCCTGGCTCAATCTGAAATTTTAAAAATGGTAAGGATCTTACCTGTAAGCTTTCTTGTGAAGATATGATGCCAATTGAACATTCTGAATCTACTGTGCTGCTTTTCAGGGGAGCTAAAAAAAAAAACCCCAAAGAAACCAACAAATATTAATATGACAATGTTGAGGACATGGGCCATGTTCTATATTCTCATCTGTATCAGTAACAACAACAATATTCCTGCAGGGAGTGCAGGTTTGAATCTTGCTGAGGGTTACATCTTTTTTTAATAAAATCATTGATGATCTTGGCCCACAGATATTCATAATAACAAACAGGGATGTCTACACAAACGTGTGTATCCAGTAGAGTAATGTTTATAGTAATTAGATTTATATATAATTTACTTAAAGAAAAAACTTGTATAAAATTTTATCTTCATCATTGTGCAATTTGTAATAAGAAACACTGGAGAAATATTTTATATAAAATTTGCATCCAGTAGTAATGGATAGTGGCTCGGATTGAGAAATCAGAGAGCTAAGTTCGAATTCCAGTCAGATCTATTACATTCACTTATGTGCTAATACCCTTGGCAAAGGTATGAATCCTCTTCTCCCCCCAGCTATGGGTAAATAGCAGGACAGACCGGGTTCTCTAGCCTTGGATGGCAACTGGTCTACTGCAGAAAGAAATGGCAACCCACTGTGGGGAAAAAATCTGCCTTGTCTGTCATGTATTGAAAGGTACATAATTGTCTAAGGGTGTATCCCACATGGCTGATATAAGAAAAAATCCACTGTAATGAAATGTTAAATTCAGAAAAACAATACCCACAAGCAGGTATCAAACCTATCAATGAATATAGTTTCCATAAACTTTATAATATATATATATATATATATATATATATATATATATATATATATATATATATATATATATATTGGATAGATGTGAGTTTTGTTGGGTTTCACGCTTTCGCGTCAGACAAACTCTGTTTGTCTGACGACGCTAAAGCGTGAAACCCAGGGTCACAAACTCACATCTATCCAACCAAATATGTTAGCTCTATCTCTGATATTGAGCGCTTTCTAATAAATAGTACAGATATAATATATAAATAATTATACATATATATATATTTATTTATATTTATATTCACTTTTCACATATATATATATATATATATATATATATATATATATATATATATAATGTACATACACACACAAAAAAGAAAGATTGTCCCCATATGCTGCTTAGGCTGATGAAAAGAAATTTGAGAGATGAAAAAAAAAAAAATGGAAACTATTCCCTGCAGGAATAATTTTATTGTTGTTACCGATGCAGAGATAAAAGGGCTTAAAAAGATATTTTTTAAGTCATTTACATTGTACAAAGCTGTAACAAAATTTGCAAGACAAAATTTTAAGGTGACCAACACCCAATCAGAATTTTTAAATTTATAAAAAATAGTTATCTTATTTCAACAAATAAAAATTTTATCACTTATTTGCACCTGGATATATTGGGGGCATAGAAGAGTTTTCTGCAGTTTTCTGGTTCCAAATTAATCAGGAACCAGGTTAAGTTTAACGCCATAAGTTCACTACAGCAAATTGTCCTACAGCATAATGGCCTAGTGGGTAAAAGCATTGTCTTATGAATTTGGTGACATAGTGATTGTGTATTTATCATTTTAGGCGTGTGTGTGAGGGTAGGGGGTTCTGTTCATAATATCACTGGCTTTTAACAGAGTTATTGAACTTAGTTGTTCTCTGTGCAAACAAATTTTTTTTATAAGATAGTTTTTAAATAAAGAACAAAAGAATATGAATTTTTTTACATTGGAAACAAAAATTACATAAATTTATGAAAGTGTATTATATATCTACTTATTCTTCATTTAAGATAAATAACTATTATCTCCCAATATTTATGAGTGTTTCCAAAAAATCCACCGTACAAATATATATATATATATATATATATATATATAAAATTTAAAAAAAAAAAAAAGAAGGAAAATGCAGATATCATATGTTAGCATTTTAAAACCTGATAAACTGTCCGGATAACACTGTAACAAGTCGGGGATCGATTTCTAACCGTATTTATATTATTAACAGGACCCCCACTTCTAAATCTGGTGAAAACTCAATATTTTTCGATTCTGACAAATGTTGAGGGAAAGACTAATAAATGATAATTTAAAAAACGTCCCCGCACCCTAAAACTTATTTATTTTTTTTTTATTATGAGCAGACCAGCTTAAGTAGCGTCAGTCAGTCAGTACTTTTATGGCTGAATAAAGTAGTTAAAATATTTTGTTTTTTTAAAGTTTTAAAAAATTCACTTTTCCGAATTTTTTTCTGACAAAATAACCATTTCATAAATTTAAATAAAATTCTAAATGAATACGTGCTGAAAATTGCACTGAAATTAAATAAGATTTTTATTGTTAGATTTTTAAATTCTTGGTGGGTGGGATTTTTTTCAGTTTATATTTGTCGTCACAAGAATTTCACTTCAAGTGATTACGTCACGCGCACACGTTCCTTTCATTGTGTCTGTAAACAACATTTCAAACCCAATTATGCATTCTCTATCTATGCATTGGACTGTAAATAAATTGTTATATCAAAATTTTCTCTAATCTCCTTTTTTGCGAAAGATTACACAAGCATAAAATTTATTTTTATATAAGTTTTTTTTTTTTTTTTTTGATTGGGGCGTTATTTTTTTCGTCCGACTTACGTGGAGATAAAAAAGCATTTTCCATGTTCAAATGTCAAATGAAAATGAAACAATTTTTTGAGTGACCATGAGTAAATCTTAAACATTATTCGATGGTCAGAATTTTAACATTTTTTCAAAATTCCACAGATTTTTTTTTTATTTAGCAAAATCGGTTTTTTTCCCCCGATTTCATCAGTTTTATAAAAAAATATCATAGATAAAAATTATATTTTGGTAGATCCGTCCAATCATCTCTGCGACCAGAAAGAACCATCACGAATGTTTTTTTTTTCTTTTAATTAGATTTTATTTTATAAACGTTACGGTTAAGTGGTCCAGTTTACCATGTAAATTTTGTAAATTCATTGTAAAACTGATCCCTACATAAAAAATATGGAATTAAAAAAAAAAAAAAAAAGAAGTAATATATTTTAATTTTAAATTTGAAACAGAGTGCTCTTTTTTTCATAAACACTCCAGATTAAGAATTTCCTATTTCATTTTTACAACTCGAACTTGAATTTTTATATTTAAATATTTTTTTTAGATAAAAAAATTATTAATTACTAAACTGCATTATTTGATTTTATTTATTTATTTTTGTTTATTTTTTATGCAATTCTCAGATGCAAAAATATAGTAAATCCAAATTTACTTTTAACAAATTCTGAAACTTGGTTCCAAATGTTGAATTTTATTTCATTTCTTTTTTTAACTTACTGGAAAATAATTAAGATAACAGAATTATATTGCACTTCGACATTTCGGATACGAATTTAAAAAAAATCGAAAAAAACAAAGGAGGAATCCTAATTCACAATGTGAGGTTACTTAAAAAAAATGTCGTAAACGTAAAGAAAACCAAAACTTTTAGCAAGAGCAGCTTGAAAAACACTACACAAATTTATATGAAGAGAAAAAAATACCCGTTAGTTCGCTCCATGACTTTTGTTCCATAGTATTGAACGAATAATCCAGTTTTAGAGGCTGGTGGCATCGTTGGCAAACAAAATTTACAGGAGTCTTCGAAGATTTCAGTGATTCAGTTCGTGAAGACGTCATTATTTTAATTATCAAAACAAACAAACAATGAACGTTTTTAGAACTGTTTTCTTTTTTGTTTACACTAAATTTCTTTCTGGTAAAAGGCGCTTCATTAATAAATAACCCGATTATTGATGTCCCCCCGGAATATGAAGCGACTTTCGAGAAAAAAAAAACAAAGGGACAAACACAACAACCTGACGTGCTTTGGACAGATTGTTTCTCTTTAGAGAGGAGGAGAAAAAGACAAGCCGTAAACTGGTCTATAAGTCGAATTACGGACAGTCGTAAAATAAATATTATATAAGAATCTTTTTTTGCCCATTTATTATTATTATTAAGAAATTGTTATGCAACGTTGGGGGATTTTACGCTATAGATATAAATATTTATTTCTTATCAATGAAAAAATTAAAAAAATATCTTTTTTGACCGCATAATGACTTAGGTCCATGATGTGGAAAGGGAGATTACTGTAGAAGAAATATTCAAATAGAGTTATTTCCCTTAAATCATAACGTTCGCTCAAGAAGTATTTGTATGAATTTACATGAGAAAATTTTTTTTCTCATATCATAAAAAAAGAAAAAGAAAGAAAGATTATGTTTTAAAAACGTAAATTTCTTCTTAAAAGTGATATTATTTTAAACTGATCAGAAGAGGGAATACATGAAAAATAAGTCTTTTCATTTTTTTCGACAAATGCCCCCCCCAAAATCTTCATAAATCAATTATAGTTTGAATATTAGTATACTGTATATACCTCCGAAAATCATTAATTTCTATTAGAACACTATTTCTTAATAAAAATTTAACATTTTCAAAAGTTTAGCTTATTTTTTTGTATTTATTTGTCTTTCTATTCGCAAGGTAATTTATTTTTTCCAAAGTTCGGTCTCGTTTAAATATTGCGCTATTATTTGCCTGTGGTTCCAATAATTAAATAACACTTTCCTTTTTTTATCTCACTGTGCAAAAAGAAAATTACGCAAACTTGGAGCTTTGCGCCCACAAAAAATGAAGTGTCAAAAGGATATTTTTTCCCATGAAACTGCTCTTATTGTTTCACTCCCTCAGTAATATTTATTGTTTTAAAAAGGCGATAATTAGAATTTTACTAAAACCTAAACAGATGAAAGTTTCAACATCCCGCTACCATTTTTTTTCTTTTATCAATATCAATTTTTGTACAAATCTGTTCAAAAAGCGGATCACAGAGCTTATTCAGCTTAATACATTGTAGGGGTTGGTACTACATATATTTATCTTTTGACTAGGAAAGGCGTGATTAAGGACAATGTGTGAACGCAATGCAATTTATATTTGACGTAAAATAGCACATAGTATAAAATACAAGACAGAACGTAATGATTCAAAACATAACGATTGAATTTATGAGTGTTGATGCATATGTATATAAGCTGGAGGTTTGAATGAGTTATGTCTTTTAGATTTGGAAATATTTGTACTGGAGCTCATGAAGATGAAGTAATTATTAAACTGTAGTTTAGAAGAATAAAGTTCCTTTTGCATGTTAGGAATTGTGTATTGGATAAAGTTGGTAAGAGTTCAGAAGAGTTAAGAGTTCGTACTTGCGTGAATTGGTAATGTTCTTTAACGTCTGGCCGCATGGTCAAGACAGGATCTCTTGAAGATTACATCTTGGCAGCAAGGAGAAAGATGAATGAGAAAACGGAGAGAGAGAGAGAGAGAGAGAGAGAGAGAGAGAGAGATTACACGTGTTTTGTTTATATAAGATATATCACGTGACTGGATCAAACGTTAGTGAGCAGGAAATTTCATTCCTCGCGTCCAGGATATCTGATTGGTCGGAATTGACCAATCAGCGAGATAGTTTTGAGATTAACCAATGAATGCTTGTCGCATGATCTGTATGTATGTGATGATAATTATTACAGGTGAAGAGTGCATTTTCCCGCGACGATAACTGGCAAATGTGGACGATTCCACAACATATTTTCAGAAAATCTTAACTTCTGATTGGTCACTTAATATTTAAATTATATCCAAATAACATCAACCTAATTCTTGACCTGACCAAAAAATAATTCCGCCAAAATCTGTCCAACGCCTTTTTGAGCCTACCACGTGATTAAATTAATTAATAAATACCAAACACGAGTTCGTTCTCTTCCTTTTCCTTGATTTCTCTCGCTACAAAATGTAGTTGTACCAAAAAAAAAAAAAAAAAAAACTAAGAGAAATCACGTCTCGACCACTTGCGGCCAGACGCTATGAAAACATATTCACATAAGAACCTTTCCAAACTACATTACAAACATACGAAACTTTTCAAACTTCATTACGAACATTACATTACAAATATTCAACTACAAGCAATGGAAACTTAATTACAAACATTACGGAACATTTACTCCTTCAACTCTTCTAAAGCTAAAAGTTTACTCAACATATTCTCAGTTTTACAGAATTCTTTCAACTCTCTCACAGTGAACATTTTGAGCGGCAAGTTCATTCAACTTTTGTGAGCTCGGATAAAAATATTTCATTAGTGAAAACTTTAATTCAGTCAAAGGAACATAGCACCAACAAAAATGCTTGTATGTACATCATTATACAAATATAAATATTGTTGTTACAAAAACACCGTTTTGGGTTCCTTGTCGTTTCAGAGTTCTTTCCCTTCCCTCCATTAGAATGTCTGACGCGCAACTTCCCGAGAGCAACTCTCTGCGGCTTCTCGGTCTCACGTTGACTGCTGACCTGAGATGGAATAAATACATTGAGTCAATTGCCTCGTCCACCGCAAGGAAAGTTGGCTCCCTGAGCCGCGCCAGGAAGTTTTTCTCCCCGGAGTCGATCCTCCAGATCTACAAATCAACAATTCGCCCTTACATGGAGTATTGCTGCCATATATGGTCTAGTGCCCCTTTTGTTTGCCTCGGGGTTCTTGATAGGCTCCAGAGGCGGATATGCAATGTAGTTGGCCCTGCCCTGGTGTCTCGTCTACAGTCACTTTCTCACAGACGCGCCGTCGCCTCCCTCTGTCTGTTTTACAAATACTTTCATGGAAATTGCTCCGAGGAGCTGCATTCGCTGGTTCCCAGACGTCATGAGTTCCAGCGCCCGACGAGGTTGGCATCCCGCTCACCAATTCACTGTCGAAACTCCTAAAATGTAGCCGTCTCTTCTACTCTAATAGCTTCATGTCTCGCACCTCTCGCCTGTGGAACTCCCTTCCCTATTCCTGTTTCCCTGTGAGCTATAATCTCCAGCTATTCAAGTGTAATGTCAATCGACATCTCTAGTTGCCTTGATCTATCCACTACCCTCATCCTTTCTTCTATCACTCCTATCTGATCTTGCTCTAAACTTTCTGTAACCCCTTGCGTCCTAGTGGCTTCCCGTCTTGTTTGGGGTGAAATGCCTAAAAAAAAAAAAAAAAAAAAAGAAAAGTTACTTTTGCTTTTGCTTACACGTTCGTAAAGTAAAAAAAATGTACGGGTTGATTTAGGCCGTCAATACCGCAACAAAGTGAATTTTTACATTTTCTTTGTTCTTGAGAATTGACAACAAAAATAATAAACCCTATTTATTTATTATATTGTTAATTGAAATGGCTGGCAAAACATCAGCTAATTAATTGGCAATCGATTCGAAGTTTATAGAATGGTAGATAATAAGGATTTCCTTATAGATGCTGCACATATTTCAAGAATTTAGTAAATATTTATACATACATAAATAAAATATTGATTTCGTATTTATTTATTTATAAATTGGTAAATATATCGTAGCACCCTCGCTACACCGTTATATATCTTCATGGACTCGACTTTTTCTTCATTGCGTTGCCCAACTCCCTTCACGTTTGCCGCCCTCCCCAGAAGAAATACATTATTACAATGTACATTAATATAATATTTAAAAAAAAAAAAAAATGATTCCTTCGCTACATAAGAGTTCTCATGTTTCAAAAACGAGAGCCGAAAACCACAATATAATTATTAAAATTAAATTGAGTTAAAGTATCAAGCCCCGTTTCATCCTCGAGCGAAAATTTAGGAATAACCAATCTTGAAATTTACGCATCTTTATAAGCATGTTCATTCGCAAAATTAATTACTATGGAAACGGCTGGGGCGACCATATTGGTAAGGGGTCTAAGAGATAATTTTTATCCACATATCAGTCCCCTTCGGAAAGAGATCAAGCTGAGATAGGGTGGGGGCATCCATTTCAAAGCGAATGATGGCATTCATGTGCGCAAGATTACTTTTGGCACCATAATATGTCGTTAGGTGTCTAGAGAATTTTGTTTTATTTTATTTATTTATTTGTCCTTTTATTTAGTTAGTTATTTATCTTTTTTCTAAAGAGTTGTTTTGTACTTAAATGCGTCGCACTGAACTACAATTTGTTTTTTTGACGACTTCATAAAGGGTTTTTCTATCTTGTGATTGGGTTAAGCTTTTAAACCTTTTATCAGACTATGAAATTTAATTTTTTTAATGCTAAAATTTGTTGATGTCGGCAGAAAACCGTTAACTCATGTCTATGGTTTAATAAATTTTCATTATTTTGAAACTTAATAATGTGTAGTTTTTCATGTAGGCGTAAAGGGTATGGGTCATCCCAGGTTTGACAAGTTCTTGTTCAATTTATTATTTTCCATTTTACTTTTGGTGTTTTATTCATTTCTTTTAAATGCTAAAAATATTTAGATAGAGATGTCTGATTTCTATTCCTAATATCATTGAAGGAGCTTTTGTGTAGTCTCCATCTAATTTTAAATTCATTCTTCGTTGAACCAATGTATATCCTATCAGTGTTAGGACTCTCAATGGATGAGATAGTGCATTGGTATACCACAGATTTTGTGCGGCATTTATCTTCCAACGGGCAGTCTTACTTGGTTTCTACAATCACAT